AAAAAAAAAAGAAAAAGAAGAAGATAGCAGGAGGGGAAGAATGAAGGGGGGGGAAATCGGAGGGGGAGACGAACCATGAGAGACGATGGACTCTGAAAAACAAACTGAGGGTTCTAGAGGGGAGGGGGTGGGGGGATGGGTTAGCCTGGTGATGGGTATTAAAGAGGGCACGTTCTGTGTGGAGCCCTGGGTGTTATACACAAACAGTGAATCATGGAACACTCCATCAAAAAGTAATGATGTAATGTATGGTGATTAACATAACAATAAAAAATTTAAAGAAAAAATAAAATAGATGGTACATGATAAATTTAAGGAAATATTAAAAAGCAAAAGAAATGTCTTGTCTCCTCATTTTGCAGGACTGAGAGGAATGAGGAGCAAGAGGCAATACAAGAAAGGGCTTGGCTGCAGGTGGAGATGCTCTGCATGCTGGGAAGGGCGGCTGCTATCAGGAGCGCGGCAAGGGACCTGCTACAGTAAACACACATCACAACCATCTCAAAGGGTGTTCTGCCAGCCCAGGAAGATCTTTATACAAAGCAATTAACCTTAGGTTCGAGGACCACTTCTGCTTGGGTGTCAGCTATTAGGCCCGTACAATAAAGTTTAGACAAATTACATAATATTCTTTAGACAGAAGATCATAAAAGTGTATATACTGCCATGCAGGAATCATTGCGCAATTTTCTTCTGGGAAGATAAAGTACATGACAGAAAAGAGAACAAATAAATAGAAAAAGGCTAAAAAAAATATGTCCTTAAACATTTCATTTCAGCGGAATTGAAATTGAAGATGCAATTCGATACTTGTGCAAGAAAACTTAAACCAAACTGTCAATACTGGATATTTCTTTTAAATACTAACAAAAAGTACAGAGTCTCCTTCGCAAGTCTTTATGAGACAAGGATGATGACTTTCTGCCGCGAAGGAAGAGTTACTAGAGATTCAATTGAGATGAACCCAAGAAACGCCCTTATTAAACCATAAATCCTTGCTGGCAACAGACGTGATGTTAGCTTTGGAACCAGCAGTATAAACAATTTATTCCAGAGAAAATACCAGGATGAAAGGTGCCGGGATTATTAGACAGTGTCCTACTCACAAAAGAGCCAATTTCTTTTCTTTGTCAGAGAGATGTAGGAGAAGAGGGGCTCACTGAAGATTAGTTTGCGAGCCATGGGCTGCGGAGACCGTTTGGGGCAGAGGCCGGTATGCCGGGGGGGGGGGGTTCAGGTTGCATTAGTCTAGGCTTGAGGCATGATGACGAGGCTGACGTGGACATGTTGAGAAGGGGAAGCATTGATGGGACGTGCAAGGTCGGAATGTGCCAGCCCTGTGATGTGCCTTATGGGGTCCTTCCCTTTGCAACTGTGGGGCTCTCGGGACGCCCTTCCCTGTCATCAGCAAGCCCCTCTCGCCAGCCACGTTCCCCCGTGGCTTTTCACCTTCATGCTGTTTTGTACCTTGGATTCCATGCCCCCCACTCCCACCTCCCTTTAACTCGTCTTTCCTTTTCTGATCTTCCTTCCCACTCTCCACGTGGCAGTGTTACCCGGGGTGGTGTCCATTGTAAACCTCCTTTCACACCTTCCCAGCGTGCTTGTTTGTCTGTCTCTGAGGACGTGGCAACTTCCGTGGCCCTCTCCCGAGCTCCATGTGCCCATGGGGCTGGGAGGAAGGGGAATGTTTTTCTAGCTTCCTCTTGCTGCTTGCAGGTGATTTCTTCCCATCCCCATATAGAAACCCCTTTTCTTTTTAAGCATGTGCCATCTGGCTATATTATCTACTCACTTCTATATTCTCTGCCTTCCACCAACTTCCCAGTGAGATTCACTTCCATTAGGGGCTCTGGAATTCCGTTCAAAATCTTCCATATGTCCCGTTTCATCATTATCCCGGTAAACCTCGAGGTTGTGACAGATGACTCAGCCAACCTCCAGCCTCATACCTCGTCATCTTCAAAGAACTGAACTCCATCCACTTCCGTTACTCACTCCCCATGGCTGTACCCAGGACTTCACTCTCGCTGAGGATTATGTCGGACACATTCTTCATTCGTGTCTACTCCTATCGTTTTCTACTTTCCAGGCAGTCCCCTCTGTTACTCCCTCCTCATCTGTTATTCTACTTCAGTGAAATGCCGAGTCCATTGGCTCCTCTATTTTTTCTACTCCTCACCTTGACTTCCCTCTTATTTTAATATGGATTCAATAATCCTTAATTGGAACGATGATCTTACAAAATCCTCAATTCTGGTGCCCCTTCTATTTCTGCGCCACCCAACTTCTGCTAAATTCATCCAATCCTGGATGAATTAACAAGAGAGGAAGGGAAACATTTGGTGAGTTGGAGCCACCCCAAGTTCATGATTCTCATCCTCAATGCTGTTTGGCAATTTTCCGTGTGCCCAGAAATTGGCTGTATTGCCCATTCCTTTTCTCTTTAAAAGGCCCCACCCTACTTACTCCCAGCAGCTTGCTTCATTCTCTACTTCTCTGGGGAAACATATGCCATGTGGCAGGAACTCCTTCAGTTTTCTGCCATTTTATCTGCTCATCCCTGTACGTCCCCACCTCAATGGAAGAGGTGTCCTCCCTCTGCCTTTCACTCTTCCTTTCCCTGAATCCCATCTCTCCTTGTGTCATCAACCTTTATCTCCCTATTCGCTCTCCCACTCCCTGGCACATGAACCAATCGGTCTCTCTCAACACGAAAAACAGTATTTCGCTAATTTGAAGCTGTTCGCCAAGACTGCACTTGCTTCACCTCACCAAGTTCCAATGGACTATTAAAAAAAAAAGAGAGAGAGACAGAATAGGGCCAGGAACAATAAGAAGGTGGCTGCATGCAAAGTGTTGATAATCTGGCTACAGAAACACTAAATTGAAAACGTCCTTTGAACACACTGGATAGCAGGTTTGCAAAAATTGAAGTGAGCTCACAGTTCTGACCAGCACATTGGAGAGAGAGAAAGGAAACAGTGGAAGATAAAACGGTGGTAGATACAGCTTCTTCCTGATCACAACATGGACATAACAGAATTATTTGTTAAAACCAGATAACTAGGGCGCCGGGGTGGCTCAGTTGGTTAAGCGACTGCCTTCAGCTCAGGTCATGATCCTGGAGTCCCGGGATCGAGTCCCGCATCGGGCTCCCTGCTCGGCGGGGAGTCTGCTTCTCCCTCTGACCCTCTTCCTTCTCGTGCTCTCTGTCTCTCATTCTCTCTCAAATAAATAAACAAAATCTTTAAAAAAAAACAAACAAACCAGATAACTGAACAAAGGAGGAGAGAGACCGAGCAAGATCATGTGAGAGTCAAGTGAAAGACAGAGAAGACGCCTGTGAGTTGGGGTGGAAAGGGGAGTCGTGGGTTGGGAGGGCCAAGGACGAAGCTATGCTTCGAAAGGATGTAGAGGAGGGAGCCAGCTGAGCTGCCTTAAAATCTTCATTAGAATGTCATACAACGCTACTGTATTTCGAACGTTTCAAAGTCTTTTCATGTCCGAGATTTCATTTCTATCCTACCGTAGCCCTAGGAGGCAGGTATTATGGGTGATTGGAAAAAATGGGTGATTGCTTTTAAAAGAAGCAAAGGCAAGAATAGATGTGCGAATAAGGAAGTATGGCTCATTCAGGAAGGAGGTGATGAGGGAAAAGAGAAGGAGGGTTACATTAAAGCACTTCAGGGGACTGCTCTGAGGAGGCAAGAAGGAGAGCAGTGGAGGTGGATGGCGCTAGGTTTTGTGTTACAACAGAAGCCAAGGAAAGTGGATGGAATTTTCTCTTCCTCCCCGCCCCTCCTGCCCCCTTCCAAAGTTGTGGAGGAAGGAAAAGCCTGGAGG